GGGACAAGCCGATGGTGGAAGGTCTCCTTGTCCCGCAGCAGAGCCTGGACACTCGGGCTTCGGGGTCGGCATCACGACAGGCGGGAGGTGGCAGTGCTGTCGCGTGCGGGCTCCAGGCTAGGGCTGAGATGCAAACCTGATCCCTGCAGAGGGGAGGTGGGTCAGGGGTTTCCAGGGCTCAGGAGCCCCCTCAAGCCCTGCCCCACCAGGTGCCCTCATGCCCCCTGTGCCCGTGGCTGCGATGCGAGGGCCTCATTCCTCAGGGCAGGAGCAGCACCACTCGCCCAGGGGCATCCCAGCCCGAGGCAGCCCAAGATCGCTGCCAGAGGCAGAGCAGCTCAGCTGGGCACAGGGACCCCCAGCCTGCGTCCCCCATCTCCAGCCTCTGCCCTGGGCCAGGCCGGGGGCTGCTGGGCTCCAGCATCGCTCCGGGCATCTCTCACTCAGGCCCTGGCTCTTGGCCATTCAGCTCCTTCCTCCCGCCCGCAGGGAGCCCATGCGCCTGGCCGGCCGGCCGTCACTGCGCTGGGGCAGGACCCGGGGCTCCCTCTGCAACCCCGTAGCGCGGAGCTGCTCCTCACCTTTAAAGGCAGCATGCATTCATTGCCACAGCCGTTGCTGCAGCACTTCCGTGCTCCACGGCAATCGTAGTCAGTGTTGCATCCGTGAAGGCACTTGCCTGGGACGAATGGTGATAATGGGGGGCAGCGTCCGGGCTTCCCTGGAACAGGAGATGTCTCTGAGCCCCTGGCGACCCCGGCACTGCCCTAGCTCAAGGGGTCAAGCTGCGACGTGGAGGCCACAAGTGGCACCGACGGCTCCTGTGCACGGTGTGGGGCAGAGTGGAGCGGGGACGGCAGCGCCGTGGCAGCTGGACACCACGGGGCAACGTCTCGGCTCCTTTGGAGCAGGATGTCAGTGGCACGGAGATGCCCGGGGTGGGGCTGGGGGCTGCGCACTGAGCCCTGCCCATCTGAATCGCTGGGCGCAGACCTCGGGGCGTCCAAACCCATTGCTCCTGCTCTCTGTGCCCAGAGCTTTGCCAACCCAGAGATCCTGGGCGGCTCCCGCGGGCGGTGGGACGGGGACAGCTCTGGGCGTTGGCATCAGTCCCGCGCTGGGCACGGGCAGCTCGGGGCTCCAGGGAGCGGAGCGAGCCCTCGACAGACCCGGCGTACAGGACCGAGGGCTGCGCCATGGGCCGTGCTGGGGCACTGGGGTCCCTGCGGGAGCAGCAGGGACACAGCCCTGCCCTGGGCAGCCCGGGGACCCCCGGCGGGTGGTGGGGACTGGCAGGGAGGGGTGCCGCGTGGGGTGCCTCATGGGCTGGGAGGGGGCCTTGCCCAGAGGGGTGGGGAGGACCGAACGGGCACAGAGCACTAACCCCAACGGGCCATCCCAGATGCAGGCTGGAGCTGGGCACAGAGGACCAGGAGCCCTGCCAGCAGGAGGAGGCCGCCCGACTTCATGGTGCCGCCGTGCTGCAGTGCCGAGCACCGGGGCGGCCGGGGTA